ACGATCGCAGCAGAAGAATGGACACGAAGATCTCTATTCGGAAAGCAGCCGTATGCAGTGTTGAGGCGGCATGAAATTCGTTTAGACAGCTTTTAAAAACGCTGTCTACGTAGCATTTCCAAAGTGAAACTTACTACCGATGAAAAACCAGCAAGTGCTGAGGATCACGGGTCTGAGAAAACTATCACATTAACTCAGAGACCGGCGCCTGACTCGGTTTGATAAAATCGACCCAAAAAAGAGTGGAAATACATTCAAAACATTTTTTTCTTGGGAACCGCGTATTCGCCGCAGATGCGCGGGAGGCCAATACAAAATGTGCAAAAACCTTAGGCAGATCTGCTTGCGGAAAGGAATATGACCTTTGCCCCAGCAGAGAATTCTGCCTAATATCAATCTGAAGTACCACTTCTAAAGAATCAAACATCACAAAACTGGGATACTCGACTGTTAAGATTTGTTAACCTCAGATGACGATGACAAAACAATACTTATTCATGTAAAACGAAAGAATATATACTGCAGATACAGAACATGTATCATTTACAAAGTATTGGAGCAATCACGTACCGCATGCTGATTGTTGTGTGATCTCAGTATATAATAGCCTGGTTGTTCTTACAATGGGTTGATTACAAAAAGATACGCCAGCTGTTTGGCGCAGTGATATTGATGCGCCACTGGGACAACAGGAATTGACGAACAGAGAGAAAATATCTACACCGAGAATCTGAGTGGCACACAGATCACATTCTTAAAGCGAACGTCAGACACTGCGAGGGTGAGGGACAACCAGCTGCACCTAAGCGGAGATAGTCAGACGTGACCAGGCAAATAGTCAGAAAAACGTGCAGCGCAAGGAAACAACCAGATGTGTTATGCTTCCCCACCGGATAGCAAGAAGAGATGCAGCATCTGAAAACGATCGCCTCTCCCTCGCCTCCGCCAAAAATGACCAGAAGGTTTGGCAAATCAGAAGAAATCGAACAGGCCATCAATCGGCATTTTGTACCATAAGTGTATTGTAGCCAGCTGATGAAAGCAGAATGATAATCGGAGATTATCAAAGAATGCGCAATTGTTTACAGGGACCAATCAAACACTGTAGAAAAGAAGCTCGTAACGGAACAGGAGACAAAGAATAATAATTGCTGAAGAAAGCTGTTGCCGATGAGCATCCTCACGTGTAATAAAAGCTTCATGTTCTGATTGCACGTCTTCTGTCGCAACCCGGACCTGGTTCGAAGGAACATAGACAGCTTTCAGACAAGGCGAAGAAAATCATCTGTGGTAATACATGCAACTGAGCTCAGAATCAATGAAGAGCTGAGACGAGATATTAGATAGTGAAATCGTTATAGTGAAAATACCGTTGGCGGTGTTCCGATGCGAATCTGTACTCAGAAAGCATTTTGTGCAGCTGTCTAAGACGGAAGATCCTCAATAATTAATCAGTTTAGTTGTCTATGATTTGGTTTCTACTGCCTAATCTCTATTTAGTTTTTTTTTAGTTACCCTCCTTGTTTTCTTCCTCCCCTTTATTGTTGTTCCATACTCTCCTTTAAATATTCTCTTTCTTTTTGCATCTATGTGTTACTTCACTGCAGTACGTTACTCAATTACTGAGGTTTTGTTTGTTCTGAAGATATCTTTATTGTACGTCTATTTCCTTTGTAAAATATTATAGTGGTGGAATAAGGTGGAACACCGTTTTGTGTTCAAAAACACGTTATAATCATCTGCTGAGTTATTTGTTAACATTAAGAACCTGTTAATGTCGTTAACGTTCTTCTCTCTGGCTAGTTGCGCAGTTTAATAGTACCTACATTACCTGGTGCTTGCATTGCCCGCCGTATCCTAACAAAAGATTATACATAATTCCTTATACTTAATTTTTAAAAATATTTGCTTGCAGTGTCTGCAACCAACAGAAAGGGTAAAGATATGAGGTACGAAAGTGATTGACATTCGCATTCACTTAAGTTTTCAGAACTCGTCCGTAAATTCACAGTTTCACGCATAGCTTATTTAATGCTTAGAATATCAGCTGAACGCATTTTAAAAAACAACGTCCGTCCTATAAGCAAGTGCGATCATGAAGGGACAGTTCATGAACATGACACTGATATAGCAAATGACTGACCAGTTCTGAAGCGGGTAATCCATTCTCGGAAATGATACATCAAATGTAACAATTAATGTAATTTTTCTGATGTAAGCCACAGTCGCATTCAATGCGGTTTACATTGTTAACTCTCCTATTTACCGTAATCACCAGAAGCAAACGTAAAATTTTCAGATTTAAAACAAGAAAAAGGTTGCAGTAACAGATGCCTGACAAAGTC